AGGTTTCTCTGTCTACGTATTAAATATTATAGCAAGCTAAACTGACGAATTTGTTGCCAGTTGCCAATTACCCTCAAATTAATCCACTATCTTATACATATTTAATAATCTGTGAATACTTAATATAAATTATATTTAACGTAGTGATAACATGCTCTATGGACTATATCTGTGTACCGATGTACACTGCGAGCACTGCTCCAGTTATGGAGTGTATAAGTAAGGAGTACAGACTGTGTATTAAAAAGTGTCCACAGAAAACCGTTAAATAAGGGTGGCGCCACTATAACTACGGGGTAAATTTTAAAGAACGCACCGAAAAATATTTAGTGGAATAGACGACTTTTTCGAGGTTATATTTACTAAATAAAAATATTTTAGATTTGAGCTACTGAGCAGTTTAGCAGCACACTTAAACAGTCGACAACTGCTAAGTTCATTTCATCCCAGTAGCTACTCCAGCGCTGTTGTGGAGAGTTTTTGAACTGTTATTTACTGCTTACAGATGGCCACTTTGTCAACTATTCTACTATGGGAGTTAGTACTCCTTACTTCTACACTCCATAGCTCCAGTGTTGTCACTGTTAGAAATCGTTCCGTTATAGGGTGCCAGTATACTGCCGCAGTACCCTAGGGAAATATATGTCGTCGTATACGTCATAAATCGCTGCCATTTTTGAACTGCGAGCTGCGAGCACTGGCGCTTGCGAAGTAAGGAGCTCTCAGTTATAATCTTTCCTCTCAGTACTGTGGAGTTTTGGCGGGAACTTGGTCGTAGACGGATTGTCGCTCCTGTTTTATCGCTAGAATAATGGTATGAAGAGGATTTTGATTCGTAAGTGATGCGATTTTGTGAATTAAGTGTACGCGCGTGTGAACTATTATAGTAAACCAAATCTAAGAAATACCTTTTGTCGTTTCACATTAATCATTCAGCAATAACCTTTTCCGTAAATCCGAATAATTATGCAGTTATCACAACTATATATTTCATTACAACATGTATAGTTTTTTTATCGCTAATTTAAATTTGAATCTTTCAAACAAAGCAAAATATTAAAAAATAACCAATATCAACTTTTTTACTTGACGTCGTTTTAATTATATGTCGCTATGTACATTGCCGTAGTGCTTGAATGATTAAAATTCATTGTTATGCGAATAATCGGCAAAAATATTCAAATAATCGGTAAAAATATTCAAATAATCGAATTAAAAATGTTTTAATGTATTATTTGTTTAATTGAATTATTATTTTTAATAATCCTTAAACTACATGAATCATGAATAAAACAAGTTATTTTTGTTTTTACTTTGTCAACGTAAATCTGTATAGGCAAAAAAACTCATATAGAAGGCCGCGCTGAAAAAACCACTACCTACGTAATTTCAATATCCCACCATTTCGAGAGCTTACTGAGTGTAATTTTGTGATTTTGTGTTTGTCTTCTTATTTTGTGACTCGGCTTTAACTTTTTGGACTGTTTCTTTTATATTCATTGAAGCATCTGCCCATGTCAAAAAGGATCATTGGGTAAAAGTGGTAGAAAAAAATTATGGATGACTTTGAAAGACACATTAATTTTGACTGCGTTATTGAAAATCAAATAAAAATTAATCTAAACAACGACAGCTCAACAAGTTGTACTGAAAGTGATTGAATAAATTTGTTTTTAATCTAGTTTCAATCTTAAATTTTTATAACTGTGCCTCTAGAAATACGCAGTAACAACAAATACGAAGAAAGTGATAAATCTTATGGTTTAAATTATCCGTTTTTAATATTTCTGGTATTACTCAAACCAAACTGTAAATGATTACCAACTCTAAATAATAGATATCGAGTTTTTTAAGAATCGAATATTATACGTTCCCATTTTTTGGTTGGCATGCTTAGTGCAATAAGTCTGTCAGCTATCAAAACGCATTTCTTAGATTTGGTTGACTATAGAGAAAACAAGTGCTTTGATGTCGATATAAACCTCAAGTTATTTTGATCGCTTGGGCGCCTTATGGACTTGAGTGGCTGTCGTCAAACTGTCCGCTAGGTTGAGCTGTCGTCAAAATCTCCCAAGGGCTTCGCAATATAAAATGATGATTCCAAAAGAAAGGATAGGCTCAGAAGGTCTAGAAACCAGAGCCGTAAAGCCAGTTAATAAAAAAACCTCTCAGTACTTTGATCACGTGATCAAAAAACATAAGGAAATGGGTGACGTTTGGCAGAAAAAAGCGCTAGCAAGCGCTTACAAGCGCTGAAATAGTTTTCGGCCAGGACACGATTGCTACTTCAGTAGCGCTGACACAATCCGCCATTTTGCTTATTTAATTTGTTTGTTTTGAAGTAGAGTTTATAAGTTGTTTTGTGCAATACTAGTTTTAAGTAATATATTGACATGAATAAACATATATATGTTATTAAAAATTCATGATCGGTAAGTTTTTAATATGAATACTTTACAAACATATATTTAAATTAGGTTAGGTTCTCCGTTAAAACTAACATCGTGTCCTAGAGGAAAATAGCTACTTATGATTTGACAGCGCTTACCTCTTACGATCGTCATTTTGCTTACAAGCGCTTGCTAGCGCTTTTTTCTGCCAAACGCACACAATATGTGACGTCATAAATCGACTCCATTTCTGTACTGTGAGCCATAGACTAATATATAATACTGGAGACTGTGAGCACTGGTTCTTGCTTTACTTACTTGATCACGTGATCAAAAAAGAAAAAAGAAACCTAACAGCGCCTAGAGATTTAACAGCTTCCACGAATGATCATTATTGTTATTAATTACTATTGCTATTCAAAAATCGTAAAGACAAAAATTGAAAAATTGAAGAAGTTATATTGGGATGTAATACAAATATTGTGTATGAAATGAAATTTACTAAAATGTTATGTTTTTGTTTTGCAGACATGGTTTTTGCAACTAAACTTTTTGGGCTACGTGTTTACGCGGGGAGAGCAATATTCAAAGGTCTTCTGGAGAGTTTCAAATCTGGATAAATACTAAAGAATATGAATTTTCTCCAGGTTTTTCTGTTTTGTTTTTCTTTGAAAGATTACTGCGATCAGTTAATTGAAGATAAAAAAAGAGATAGGAAACTCGTGAACAACACCATCAGGAAAAAATACTGCTATGAATCGATTGATAGATGTTGTTGCACAGCTTGTAACACAAAGACGTAAAAATTAATTATTTTTTGTTTGCTTATTTTCAATTATTTTGTTTTTAATATTATTATTGTTGTTGCGCGCCAAGTTGGTGCCTGGTGAATGCCACTAGCGCTATCTTGTATCGAGTAGCAGGCATTAAGTGAGCTTTCCAGAAAATGCCATGCTAGAACTTTCCCAATAGCGCCATCTAGTATTAAGTGGCAGAACTAGGAGAGAACTTTCTATACTTAGACGGTTGGGACCGGTATGTCAAGTCGATGAAGTACTTGATATATAGTAAATCCATAGATAGATTTTGTATCTATCTATTGGTGATCCCTATCTATCTATTGATCAACAGATGAATAACAAATAGGTCATTTTAGAGGTTTTCAAATAAATTGGCAACTTTAAGTTAGAAATCTTTGAAAACATATTTTACAAATGAAATAATTCTGTAACAGCGCTATCTACACGTTCTGTCAAGTACTACATCGACCTTCGAAGCCAACGTAGTTCTATGAGTAAAGTTGCATAATATAGGAAGGTCATTTCAAGTAAATTCTCTTAATTTATTTCCTGTGTAATCATAATTCTCGTAATTTAGTAACGAGACTAATTATGATATTTTTTTAGAATTTTAGTTGTATAATTCTTATATAACATTTAAAAAAGAATTTTTCTGAAGGGTCTACAAATGTGACATGTGCTAATCCGATGTGTTGTGGGACTTGAAACTCCACATATTAAGATTAATTACTAAAACACAGTATTTTTATTAATACACAAAAGCGCGTTTATAATAAAGTGGTATAATGTAGTAATTACCCAAAAAACCCACTCACACAACACACAAACACACACCGCTCATATAGTGTGATTCAGTATACAGCACCATCGAGTATAAGCTAAAGGGTTAAGACTTATGCCGTATGCCGAATAAACACATAATTTTGACGACTTGTTTGCATACATAGGCACCCATTTTACTGAAATCAATCAGTAAACTGATAAGATGTGAATCTGTGATTTTTGTAATAAATACTACAAAAAAGCTGTGGTAGCTCAGATGGTTAGCGCTCGCTGTAAATTTCACAATACGCGAGCCAACCGGGTGCGATCCCCGCCGGCACCAATGAAATTGTTAATTGCAATTTTAAGTGCTGATTTACCACGTGCTCGGCGGTGAAGGAAAACATCGTGAGGAAACCCGCATGTCTGAGAAATAAGAAAAAAATTTCGAACACATGCTAAGTTCGCCAACACTGCATTGGGGCAGCGCGGCGGACTACTCCTTGCCCTAAAACCCTCTCAGAAATGAGAGGCCTGTGCCCAGCAGTGGGACGTACATAGGCTGTAAATTTACTTTACTTTTACTACAAAAAATAAATTAATAAACCTTAATTTCAATCGATTTTTAATTACTTTATTTTCCTTGTATTTACTTAAATAACGCCGCCTAATTCTATTTTAATTTTGCGCAACACCGCTCAAGTCAAAATAAAACGTGAATATCAATTAAAATGATATAACAAGCCCATTAAATTATTTGTAATCAATAAATAGAGCATCTATTACTAATAAGAGCTTAAAAACTCTTGAACTCAATAAAATATACAACATTTTCACTCACTAGTAAAGTAATGTCAAAATGACTTAAGCGGTGTTGTTTGCTTAGCGACGATATGCGTTTCCTTTACACGTGCATAAATTTTTAAGAACCAGTATCTAGAATATATAAGGTCACATATGATTGCTAACTTTCAATCACAGCATGTTAGATTTGAATACGTTCGCGGTGTTGAATGCCAAGCGACGTTTACATATTTTATACACAAAATCACATAAACATATTATCGTTGAAGCCGGGCGGCGGGAAATGATCGGCGTCGGGCGGCGGCGGCCGGCGGCCCGGCATCGGACCGACGCCCGGTGGTGCGAACGGGTCGAATCGTGCTCCCGGTGGAACCGCTCCTCTGTACACATGTTGCAAATATATATTGATCTTTATTACATATAAATATATGTAAAGTACAAAACCTAACTATAAAAATTATTTGAATCATATTTTTCGTTGGTAAAACAATACATTAATATTTATATAATACGTAGCCATAAATAATAATTTCCACACATAATGTGGCAACAATGTTGCTTGTGTACTGTGTTTGTTAGTGGCTATTAAATTATTTAATAATTAATAATCTTTAATTTCGCATTGACCTATATACTTACATGTCAATATACAAAAGAACTATGTCAATGGTCAACAAAAAAGGGGATAAGAAAAAGTAAGCCAATTTCAATATTATATATAATACTAGCTTGCCAGGCAGACGTTGTTCTGCCCTTTTCGACGACCCTTTGTCATGTCCTATTAAAATCCCTAAATTCGCAAAAAAAATTGTGAGTCACTCATGGGCAAAAAAACTATCCTATCCCTTAAGTTGGACCAAACCGCACACGGTGTGTAAATTTAAGTAGTTTAGGAGTCCATCGCGGACAAACAACGTGACACGTAATTTATATATATTAAGATAAAGTATATATACTAGGATGTAATTTTTCATCATAAATCCGATCACAAGTCCCCTGCTGAACACAAATCGATAGCGTTGTCATAGCGCCACAAGCGTTAGCACGTTAACGAAGCTTACAGCAAACAAGGCCCAAAACATGCTATTGAAGTTTCTGAACGACTGATACATGCATACCAGCTCTCAGGCTGAACACTTTGCCCGTCGAGATATCTCCCCTTTTCCTTCAACGACTAAACCCCAAAGATTGCCACAATGAAGTATATGAGGTAGGTATTAGCTCCCCTTTAAAAAATGGTTAAGAAATACAGTGTTAGACTTGAACACTATAATAAGTCCTACAGAATGTTAACTGCCGACAGTGTCGGGCTATTATTGGAATGGATTAGAAGAACATCAGTAGAGGTTACTAAGATCCCATAAACATCTTCATCCAACTTATATGAAGAACTTCCAATTTTTTAGGCTCTAGCCTTTCTGCAATTATATTAGTAGTATAGTTGTAGCACGAATGGCTCGGCTCGACCAGGGAAGGACCACGCTCTCACAGAATACCAGCGTCAAATATTAACTTAATGCTGCTGTGTTTCGTATGGTGAGTGTAGAGAACCGGAGACCCTTTTTACTGGAAACGAGGCATTCCATCTAAGTCCTCACGGGTGACAACGCATCTGCATTTTGATTCGTAATCGAGGATAGATGTAGATGTCTATGGGCCACATCAACCACTTACCATCAGGTGAACTGTGTACTCGTTTGTCACCCATTCCTATAAAAAAAAGAACAAATTATGTAGGTAATTTCTCAATTTGGTAGTAGACAACGTCATTATTAAATGATTATATCTAATACTGTGAATTTAATACTTTCAGTGATGTATTATAACTTTTGACTATAAAAATGTTTTAACAATTTAAAATTATTTAAAATTGAGTAGTGTCAAATACCCAATTTAAGACGATTCTGAATCCAAAATTCGGATTGGCGTTTAGACTGCTAATATTTCGAGTCACTCTAGCATAAATATAAGATCAAATCTAATAACAACCTTGGTAGCCCGCCCGGGACACCTAATCCAGGATTTTCAATATCTCTTCGAGGTCCGAACGGGTTGAAAATCATTCCACCGCCGCCAGGTGCAAAGGGATCCAAATCTGATCGTCCAACATTGGGTAGTTGAGCAGGTGGCATCTCCCTTAAATAAAATTAAAGTATGTAAAAAGTTTTCCGTAACCGACGGCGGAAATTGAAATTAATATGATGCGGGTAGATAAACAAAAAAGAGTAACACAGTCATATTGTAAGCAGTTCGAAAATTTGAGGACATTTTTCGAAGTCGGCTAAAAATAAGTTCCCATTTCAAATGTCACTCACATTAGAAAAGCTTTTGTTCATAACTGTATTTTACTTATCGCCGAAATTAATTGTAAGTGAAAATGTGTACATGTTTAATTTATGTAAAAGAATATGTACTGAGTTAATTTGACTTCTCCCAAACTTTTTTTATCATAACCTTAACTGCACCGAAAATTACCGTACGGTTAACCCGATGGTAAGTGACTACCGGCATTTATTTGAAGGTCTTTTTAAAGGTTCTTAAGTCGTATCTGTTCGGCAAATAGTTCCCTGGTAATAGCCAATTCCACAAAAAATGTCGAGAAAGGCAAAAAACTTCTGATAAATAGCACAGTGGTGAACTGCCATGCATGTACGATGGTGGAATTTTACGACTGTAACTAAACCGAACAATTCTTCTGAGCACTTCCCGTGGTAAATCGATAAAAAAGTAAATGGTTACAACATCTATTTGCAGCACCAGTGTATTAAACCAATCAAAAAAACTTAATTTTCTATGATTCAGACCGCTTTTCACTGGGTGAGGTCAAGTGTACGACTGATGAAGGAGAATCCACCCAAAACGCTTAATCCGAATGTGTCAAACTTTATGTTTTTGTTGGTTGAAACATTTCCACACAACACGGTCCACTTGTCGAAATATTTTAAGTCTTCCTCAAAATTTATTTCTTATCCTAGTCACGGGATATCACATTGTATGTGATGTAATATTGAATAGAAAAAAAAACGCTTGCTAATTGAATGTGTACATATAATTTTTTATAACGATACTCCATTTGTTTCCTTTTAGATACTCGTAAAGCTCGATGCATCATCACATCCAAGAACACTAGCACAAGACAACTGCACGCTATATATATATATATATATATATATATATATATATATATATATATATATGCAGCGTGTTAGTGTAAACACCGTTATCCTTGAAACCAGTGGTTTGGTTTCACTTATGGAACGTAAATTCAATGAATTTAAAAAAATACTCTATTTTCTTTCATAATATTTAAAAAGTTCTGTCCGACACCGTTCGTAAATTCATGGATACCCTATGCGCCCGAGTGACGTAATCACTATAAAGATCACCGCCCGCGCTAGTTATCTACACAACGTTCGGTAAAAACACAATAGGTACACATAACTATAAAAGTATGAAGGAAAAGTTACATAATGTGATGTAACTTTTCCTTCATACTTTCATTAAAAAAAATTGCGATTTTACTAAAAAAAAATTTTGTTATTTTTCATTGAATTTGCGTTCTATAAGTGAAACCAAACCACTGGTTTCAAGGATAACGGTGTTTACACTAACACCCTGTATATATATATATAAAAAATATAAAAAATAAAATATATATACATATTTACTTATTTATTTATTTATATAGTAATGATAGAGACTCCTTTGGTGGATGCTGTTAAATTGATGTTAGGTATGAACCTATAAATACTAAGGAAGGTATTTCAAATTTTAGAAAGACGTTAACTGTTAATTGGTACATGACAATACTATGTATTGTACCGAAGGTGTTTTACATACATAAATTATACATAAGAAAACATCTCGATCCGCAACAATTATTAAGACCAGAATTCAAAACCGCGGGCGTAACGCCCCAACCACTGCGTTATTAAGGGGAAATATAACCTCAAATGGCTTAGCAAGATCCTCCGTTATGCAGAAAATATAGCAGCATTAATTTTGAAATAAATATATGGTAAAGTTGAGGATTAATGTTAAGGACTATGTTAGACGAAAACACGATTCCGTATAATTTTCTCGATAGAAAAAAATCCAAAGTTACCTCCAAAATAAACCATAAACCGCTGTTATTCATAAAATACTTTAAATAAGATCATGAAACTTTGCATACTAACTGAACTAACTATAGAGCAGTGCTTATGTTATTTACTTTTTTTTAAATACCATTATTTTCACTGTAAAAAGAAATTACCTAAACTATATGCCTCTTGAAGCTTGCCCGGTCAGTTTCGCTTCGGCCTTTGGAGGGGGAGGTTGTGTCGCACATTACGCAACAGGACGACGTAAAATTAAAATGGGAAATAACCGTAATAAAAATAAGAAGCGACTAGGTTGGCGTTAAGAAACAGGCATAAATATGATAAACCTAATGAAATAAGTATCTAACGACCTATCTACTTATAGTATTAGTGATTACAAACATGTCGGTACATAGCATACGACCCGCGGGGAAGTGGGGGCGAAATTAGAATTTGAGCTGACTTACTATATCCTCTTAAGCTATAAAATAAGCCGGCGTTTCACTTCTCTGGTGATTTCATCTAAGTTGTGGGTGTACCACAGATGACGAAATCTTTTATGCCGCCACCATACGTTAACTAGATGACCTCAAAAATAGGATAATTATTAAAATTTTTATACCTCTAGTCCTCTACTAAGGAAGGAAAATTGATAAAAAACATAATATCTGACAGATTTAAAATAAACAGTGTGTTTCATGATGAATAACAAATTAATAAAATTGTTAGCTACTAGGATGGTCACACAGAAAATGTCACAAACCATAAGTCGTGACTGTCTGGACGCACACCTGGTAAAGGTCTCGGTGGCACTCTTAAGGGATCACTATCGGGCCTTCTGTCGTGAGGATTATCTGAAAATTGAAGAGCAACACGTATAAGATTAATCATTTAAAAAAGTTAACTTTAATAAAAAAGTAAAAGCCAACTTCAAATAACTAAAACGAATAAAATCATCATATCCTGAAGTAGGTGCTAATACTATATTATAAAAGAATTAAATCCCGGCCCTCTTTTAATTTTTATTAAGAGTTACTGGTTTAATACCATTTTAGTGCACTAAGTATTATCACAATTTCAATATCGTCTTAATAGTGTTACGAGCTTGAGGTTCGTGACAGTAAAAACTGCCGATTGAATTATCAAAATTTACACTTTTATTACCTAACACGAATTAAAACTTAAAACACTAATAATTAACCACACTGATTCACTTTATTTCGCTCCGAAGCTTCGCTTGTCTCGCCGAATTCAATACTTCCCCGCTCGCATTTTGCAGCGCCTTTAAATACACCTTTATCACCGAAACATCCAGAATAGTCAACTTAGGCGCGCAACACTGCCCACTCCTAAGACATGCTCGTCCCGAGCATTATCGGCCTCATAATAACGCGCCAGGCGATCCACATGGACGATCTTAGGAGTACCTCTTGCGCCTTTCTGTATCCGGTAGGTTACATCGTTGATCCTAGTCACAATCCGGTACGGGCCGTCCCATTTAGCTTGAAGCTTAGGAGATTTCCCTTTGCTGCGGACTGGATTGTGCAACCACACTAGTGAACCTTCGTCGAACCCTTTGTTGTTCATTTTGCGGTCATATCGGGTTTTCATCTTTTCGGACATTTGCTGGCCCGATTGTCTGACGTGCTCATAAATGTCATTCATTTTTTTCCGCAAGTCATTTGTATAATCGGTTATACTGCGTGGAGCATCAGGTGGTATCCCGGTGATCAGGTCTGCAGGCAGCCGTAATTCTCTTCCAAAGTTTGCGAAAGCTGGTGTCACTGCTGTACTTTCGTGAACAGCGCTTCGATATGACAACAAAAACGGTTGTATGTGCTTGTCCCAATCTCCTTGCCGATTTTCTACAACTTTTGCGAGATACCTCTCCAATTTCTGATTAAATCGTTCTACCATTCCATCAGATTGCGGGTGATAAGAAGTCGTTCTTGTTTTATGAGTACCCATAACTCGGCAAGTTTCCTGGAATATTTGAGACTCAAAATTCCTTCCTTGATCGCTGTGAATCTCTAAAGGTACTCCAAAACGACAGAAGACTTCATGAACTAGTTTATCTGCAACTGTTGAGGCTTCTTGATTTGGAATGGCGAAGACTTCTGGCCACTTATTGAAGTAAACTTAGTGAAGTAATCCATCACAACCATGACATACTTGTTACCGCTTTCACTCTCCGGAAACGACCTCGACACGTCAATGGCTATTCTCTCCCATGGTGCACCAACATTGTACAAATTCAATGCACCTCTACTACGAGTCTGAGGTCCCTTTACAGACGCACAACTTGTACATTTGCGACACCAGTCTTCGACATCTTTTCGACAGTGGACCCAGTGAAACCGTTCTCGGATCTTCAGTAGAGTTCGTTTAACTCCCAGATGGCCTCCTGAACAATCTTTATGGTACAGCTGTAGAACATCCGGTACTTTAGCTTTAGGGACAACCATTTGCAAATGACAGCTGTCTCCCCGTACATTTTCCCATTTACGGCACAGATCTCCATCCTGAAGCAGCAAGCTGTCCCACTGGGCCCAATAGCTTTTAGTGGTCGAACTCATTGCTGAGACGTCGCTTCACTTGGGCTTGGGAGCACTGGCCTTCATCCATTGCAGAATCGGCTTGATGTCCGGATCTTCCTGCTGTTCATGTTGTAAGCTGTCCTTCCACTCGTTGCTGAGGTGGTCTGTCCTGAGCATCCTCACGGATACCACTTCCTTACTCTCTTACCTAGTACAATGTTGGCAATCTTCAGGACAAGGTCTTCTTGACAATGCATCTGCGTTGCCATGAGATTTCCCGTTGCGATGTTTGATCTCAAAGTCGTATTTCTGTAGTAGTTCAATCCACCTCGCAACTTGTCGTTCTGGATTTTTAAACTGCAATATCCATTTTAGTGCAGCATGGTCAGTTCGTAAGTGAAATTTTCGCCCCAGAAGATACTTGCTAAAATGCTGCAACGACTTTACTACAGCTAGTAATTCGCGTCTTGTGACACAATAGTTCCTTTTCGGTTTTGACAAAAACTTGCTGAAGTACGCTATCACGACCTCTTGGTCACCATTCCGTTGAGACAACACACCGGCAAGTCCTATATCACTTGAGCCTGTGCCAACCAATAAATTATTTGCTTGCATCAGGGTATTCCAATATAGGTGTTTTGCACAGACGGTCCTTGAACTCCTGGAATGCGATATTGCAACCTACATCCCAGCAGAAATGTCGCTTCTCCTCGGTTAGCTTATGCAGAGGTTTGACTATATCTGCAAAGTTCTTCACAAATCGCCGCTAATAGGAGCACAAACCCAAAAATGCTCTAACCTGCGTCTTGTCCTTTGGAACCGGCCAATCCTTGACAGCGGCGATTTTCTCTGGATCCGTGCGGATACCTTCTTCCGATACTACATACCCCAAAAAGTTAACTTGCCGTTTGAATAGTGAACATTTCTTCGGACTCAACTTGAGGTTAGCACTCTGAATCTTCATGAGCACGCGTTCCAGGTTTTGAAGGTGTTCCTCAAACGTACGGCCCACGATGATGATGTCATCCAAGTAGACCAGACAGGCATCGCCAATTAGCCCGGTAAGTACAAGCTCCATCAGCCTTTCAAACGTTGCTGGAGCATTGCACAATCCAGACGGCATTACTTTAAATTGCCACAGACCCTCTCCCGTCGAGAATGCAGTTTTTTCCTTGTCCTTAGGGTCAATTTCAACTTGCCAGTAGCCACTTTTTAGATCCAGCGTGTTAAACCACTTTACTCCTGTAAGCATGTCCAGCGTGTCATCAATTCTTGGCAAGGGATAGCTGTCCTTCTTTGTAACGTGGTTCAGACGGCGGTAGTCAACACAGAACCGCATGCTGCCGTCCTTCTTCTTTACCAGCACCACAGGTGAACACCATGGACTAGATGAAGGTTCAATAACACCATCCTTCACCATTCCCTTAATCATGGTTTCCACTTCCTTTTCACGTGCTACCGGCAATCTTCTTGGCCGCTGACGGATAGGAAATTCTTCTCCTGTGTTTATTTTGTGTTGAACTAAGCCAGTCTTTCCTATGTCAGCATCGTTTGATGAGAATACATCGGCATACTTGAGTAACAACTTCTTCGCCTTGACCATTTCGTTCGGGGAGAGAACGATGCGACAGTATTCCAAAAGTGTGGTCACTCTCGTTTGTGCACCCTTGCTGGGGGTCTCACTCGATAGATATTGGCACTGACGTAACCAAACCACTTCCTCACAAATACCAACCAGCGTGCCTTTTTCTATAATCTGTTCCCGGTCACAAAGGTTCAGCACACGTACTCCTGAGATGTCAGTGGTTCTGACCAAGGTTCGAGCTAATTTCCATGGAAGGTCATTGTTTACCCTTTCCACAAGTACACAACGGTAAGCTTGCCCAGCGTTTCGAGGAAGACTAACCGGCACAATCGTTTCCGATCTCGGCGGAAGAACAATCTTCTTAATGCTTTACACTTTCCCTGGTAACGCACCTTCCATAAAAAGTTCCTCCTGTCCACATTTCAAAACACCTTGCTTAACGTCGATCTCACAACAATTATTCCTCATAAAGTCTAGGCCCAGAATGCAGTCGTCCATTATATCAGCCACGATGACATGCTGGTAGATCACGTTGTCTAGCTTCAACTCCATCTCTTTCTCTCCACGGACGGGTATACGCTGACCGGTGGCTGTTACCAAATTAATGCGTTCTCGGTTGTATGCGGAGTCCCAAAGGAACTGACTTATAAGTTGGGAACTAACAACCGTACGAGAGGCTCCAGTGTCTATGGTCAGTTTACACGACATTCCGTTGACTTCGCTTGTCTCGCCAAAGTCAATACTACCCCGATAGCGGGTTGCAGCGGCTATAAATACACATTTTCCACCGAAACATCCAGAATATTCTAGTAAATACGGGCGTTGACCCACCAGGCGCAGAAAGTTCGAGTGTGGGGCTTCTAGAAAGCTTAGTTCTTCAATTAGATACTAGATGGCGTTGTTGGTTGAAAGATTAGTCATGTCATTTTCTGGAAAGCTCTCCTCGCTCTGTTACCCGACACTAGATGGCGCTAGTGCCAGACGTCAACTTAGGCGCGCAACAATAGCAACATTCAAAACTTTATTCCCTATCTATTTTGCCACCTTTAGGAATTGGAATTTTTCTACAAATTTATATGGGCCCGCCCCTAAAGCAAAACTATTTAATTAATTAGAAACAGAATATATAATTGGCTCATAATTATGAGTCGATTCACGAAGATATTGCGAAACATACATACAAATTAAAAAACAATGCGAATTAACTAAGTATAAGAACGTCAATATAGCCTCGATCTGTTAACAGTCACTTGAAAAGTACGTGATAATTGGTTTTAAAAATAACTGTATTTATATAGACAACAAAACAAAATTTACATACGTAATGAATTTATTTTATAGGGAAAAGGAGTAACTACTCACACAGTGGAGACAGTGAACGGAATGGAAGTGATGGATTCAGATTGAAACTTTTCGTTCTTGGATATTTTGTAAATAAATATTATTTAAAAAAATATTTTTTGCTCACCCTATCCACTGGTTTGAATAGACAGTTAAGATGTTACAATATGGCGCAAGGTCATTCTTGTTCTTATTTGGATAGCATTGTACAGTCAAATTGTAAGCCTCCTTTTTTAAGTCAGTAAAAAATACTTATAACATAATATCAGGGAGGCACTTTATGACAAAATTTGGTAATTTTATACTATCGCGGTCACCTTGTTTTTTGACTCTAGAAAATTGAAAAATCATCCCATTTCGATGATTTTTTTTAATAATCTTCACTATTACG